GATTTTCAGTACAAATCGGCAATTTCATACTTTAACCCCTATTATTAGGTAATATAGGATTAACACATGTGTAAGTAGAGATTTCTCAAGACTTCGCAATCTTGATATTATGCTCCTTACAAGTACATAACGTGTACTTGTACATGCAGATACTTTAAAAGAATTTGAAGTACCTATAGATTTCAGTGTAGGTCAATCAAATAGCGGAAAGATTTAATAAATTATTTATAATTCATACTGAGGTGAATAGCTTTCAAGCAAAGCGTCGTTAGCTTTTCTACTTTGTGTGTCATAAAGACTAATATAGCAAAGTATATTTCACGCCTGTGCTTTTAGGAAAGCCGACTTGAAAAACCAAATTACTAGACGGATTTAACGTGACGTAGCCGTCACGAAATTAATGCCTTTAGGAAGTGCGAATTTTTTCTTGCGTGTTCCACCGAAGACTGGCAATATTCTAACAAAATACAATGCGTTCTTATAACGTAAAAATAACGTCAATGAATCTAAAATGTGTTCACCTTTAATATAAAACTGACTGAATATTACATTTGAATATGATTACATCTTTTTAGTTTAGCAAATTGATTTGTTGTTTTGAGAACCAAATTTTTGCAATACAAGCCCAATCGGCACAAGCAAAATAAAATATTAAGCAAAATAGATACTATTTTGATACTATTCTACAAAACAAATTAAATTGCACTTCTACGCGTTATTCAGGGGCGGAGCAAAAAGCATTTGAAGATAAAATTGAAATACAGCTCCATAAAGTACGAATTTAGATAATATACTAGTGTGACGTAAGCTGGCAGCCGTAAATTGTGGCCGTTATATGGCATACAATGTTATGCGTACATAATGGGCTAACAAACGAACCAATGGTCACATGACGTGAGTAGGGTAATATGTTCGACAGTACAAGCAATTGAATATTGAAAGTGCATAGAAACGGAACATTTCGACGGAAAATAGTTTATTGACAAAAACAAGTAGTAGAGCTCCTTGTGAAAGAGTTGGTGCAGGGAAGTGTACCTTACATATGCCGTCAAACAGTGATATGAGCATTACTACGTTCCAGTTGTGAAGGGTGCTGGTGAAATTATAGGCATGTGGGAAATGTCAACTTATGTTTCAAGGTGACGGACGGTGGGGCAGTGCTTGTGCGATCTTTGCGAATTAAAGCTCTGTGTAGCACTGGAACTGTCATGGATTGGCGTGTCGCTTCCAAACGCAGGACTTGTGCGACCCGTCCATTGACATCATAAAATGCCAATATCTTAGTACAACGTGTCAAAGGGCGCGTTCAAATGAGCCGCTGTTAGAAGCGCTGCAGCCGCACGGCGCGGCGGCCGCGCAACTGTCGCGCTGCTGAAGTGCGACCAAATTTTCCCATGCCTTTTTTTATCCAGTCGATTGGAATAACTGGCGGAACTGCTATTCCATATTGCACCGTGTTGTTTTACATTCTTTATAAATTTTTCAATTCAATTTTCATCCATCGTGGTTAATTTGAAAAATTAATATGTACACCTCACTAACCGTGACTGCAACCTAGCATGACTGCAGCACGACTGTCGCGCGGCAGCTGCACGGTTGCAGCGCTTCTAGAAATTGTATGAAAACTGACAGTCGCGTGGCCGCCGCTCGACTGCAGCGCATCTAACAGCGGCTAGTTTGAACGCGTCTTTAGAATAGTAAGTGGTTATGCTAGGGCGGAAAGGAAGTAATGGCAAACAAGATTACACTTTAAGTCCTACCCTGAAGGCGAATATTAAGCCTCCCGAGTTTGCTATAACCTCACATTACGACGATTACCGTAACGCAGTGATGATTTTTAAGTTACATTTGTAAGACAACGGCGCATTAAAAAAAAATCACGAATTATTGACAATTTGACCAATTGAATTAGAAATAATTAAAACTTTGCAGATACAATCCAACAAATTTTAATACCATTTTTTGACATTTGTAAAAAATCGACCGCCTGTAGATTTTTGGTCAAGTAATTTCATATTTTCTATGAAAGCCGAATTTTATTGATAGACTCCACTATTCTCACTTCGAAGTTGTATCTTTGTTGTGTTCCGTGCTATACATATTTTATGAAAATTCTGAACAATTTTTTTTTTTGGTTAGTGTATCATTGGCAATCAGTGACATTATTGACATTATTCAGTGATATTATTATTATATTAGCAAATGTGACCAATAAATGACTAGGTAAATAAATAATTTAACAAAAAAAATGATTGGAGAGAACTTTCACCAAGAAACAGTACCATATACCAAATTTAAAGAACTTATCCAGTATAGTCGGGATATAATCATTCAAAGATAAAGTATGTGAGGAAACAGTAAGTAGCAAAAGACAGTCAAATTTTCTCTGGAACCACTCAATCCACGAACGAAAACGAATTGCGGGGAATATTACTAACGAGGTCTCGGCAATAATCCCCTTGACAAATAAACGTCTAAGAAGTATTAAGGGTTGAACTGCTGTTATAGAAATATATTTAATGTAATAGAGCCTCTACCATCATGCCCTATTATAAATATCCATGGCAGGAACGAGCTAATGTTGACGATTAAAATATAAATCCACCAAGCGCCGTGGAACTTAGATTTTTGTCTTATAAATAAGACCTCTTATATTATGCTACACCACTAAATATGATACATAGTTTAGCTCCACTTTCAGATTTCAATGCAGAGTTCAGAAACGATATTAGAAAAATATAAATATTTTTAAAATTATTTTTGTGTTGTTCGGGTTCGGAACAATATTACAATATTTACCAGAGCTTGCTACAGGTACCAAAAATATAAGTATTTATTTACAAATATACAAATATTTTTATACACATATTTATATTTTTCAAAATTATATACTTGTAAATAAAGCATGTAGAAAATTAATGTGAATTTTATTTAAGTACTTTTCAATTATTATCATACCATACTGGGCCCATTATATACCTAAGCTATTGTAACATCTGTGCCTACTTATGGAAACAATAAATTATTATTATTATTATTTTCCATTTCAATAACTGAATACCAGTACCATAGGAAAACCGATATATTTACCGATAGGTATCGGTACTCAATAGCGGTTATCGCGACGTTGCCAGTTGGTTACGTTCGGCTCCTGCGACCGATACTGTTTTCATTGCACGCGTGAATCTTCAGTCTGAAACTAAGCGGTGGGACGAACAAAAACTATTCAGTTCAATATTAAAATAAAGCGAAACACAGATTTGAGTAACGTAATATTATGATATCTGGCAATTTTTTATAAGAAATTACTTTACATGACACCACAATAGATCAAACCGATATGTCAACTGAATAAACGAAAGCCGCCAAGTGACACTAACATAAAGTTATATGGTGAATGCTTCAGTATCACAATAATATTAGTAGTCATAACATAATATGAATATCACTATAAATTGAATACAAAACAAAAGAAAGAAAGACTTCTAATTGATAAATAGGTTAATTAGTACCGGTGTACGCTTTGACAACTGTTACCATACTAAGATCAGGGGAACCTACTTCTGATACTACAAGTACAATTTATACTAGTAGTATCTAAGTAAACACTGCTACTTCAGAAAGGTTATTAGTACCGTTTCTTGAAAATACCGGTATTCCTGATTGGAACAGATTTCAGATTAAATTTTACAGATTAAAATACAGTTTTAAAAATTTAATTTTTGGGATTTAGAAGGTATTCTGTTGCTTCACTTTTCAGGTCAGCAATATATGTATCTATAGAATTGTTTGGACAATATAGGTACAAATAAAAAGGTTTTACAATCAAGTGCCCTGCTGCTAAATCCCTCTGCTTCGATAAATTGAGAACAAATGCCAGCAGGGGGTGAGAGCGGCTCCATTGGCGAACCTATTTATACAGATAATTTCGAAGTATCACATAAACATTTCTCTTCATACGGAGAACATTTTAGTTAAAAAGAAACGGTTTGCTTTTCATTTCAAAAAATGACGAATGGCGGTGACTATCAAAAAACACCATAGATGTTGATTTTGTTCGTCTAGTGATTCTATCTTAGAACAAGACTTCCCTTCACACCAAAGTTTTAATAAGTTTTTCAATTACTGCGAAACGAGTTACTAAAGAAGTTCATGAACAAACTCAACAGTCATTCCTATTACGTTTCTGTTATGAGAAATAAATGGGACAGCGAAGTTGTCTTCCTTTCGAGAAAATTCGAGATAAAAGTCTGTCTTTTAAAATTGGAAACGAACGAAAGAACTTTAAGAGGGTCAGCAACAAGCTTAGAAGTAATCCTAAGAAC